TCTGGAGAATGACAAGCAGGCCTCAGTTGGTCATGTGATAACAGGAGAGTACTCATATACTAAGAGGTTAAGAAGAAGGGGCCTTCTAACTGGACTTTTCCATCCTCACTGAGAGTGGTCAACCCCTATCTTGGGAGGATTTGAGTCTTTCAGGGGGAACCTCTAGGCAGGGGCTCAGACAGTCCCTGGGATATTCAGAAACAGACATGGATGATGGCAATGGGGTCAGCTGGTCAACACATGCGTTTTGAACACCTACTATGGGCTAGGCATTTGCCGTGCTCAAGGAATACAATAGAGATAAGGGACGCAGCACTATCAAGGCAAGGAAGAGAAGTTCCACCTGTGCAATGGAGAAAGGAGTGAAAACGAACATGGCAATCAGTTTGGTGTTGGGAGCACACTTACATCCCTACTTCTCAACCCTTACCTGTGGCTTCTCCCACTTTGTGTTTGGATAGAGATTTGGCTGCTGTACAGGAACCCAAAGTAAACAGTCTCAAATAAAGACTGAGGCAGGAAGCAACAGGACAAAGGAGATTTGAAAGATTTTAAGGTGTGGAGCAGAGAAGGTTACTTATACCTGCCCCCTCAACATCTATTCTCCCCTTCTTCTGTGTTAATGCAATCTCTAATTTTCACCTGGGCACATGGCCACACAGAATAAAAATCTATTTCTTAGTGATCAGAGTGTAGCTATGTGACTAAGTCCTTCTGATGTGTAGGATGTGATGTGGTGCCCTTAAAGGAATATGGTTGAGGTAGTCAGCCATCTTGGACCATGCAGAGGATGGCAACATCCTAGGGATGGCAGTGCCATAACCCTGGTTTCCTGATGAATTCATAGAGAGGAGTAAAGGTCTGACTTTCACAAGGGATAGAAATGAATTTCTACTTTATTTGAGACTGTATTTTTGAACTCTTATTAAAACTTCAGTTCTCAGCTTTCATGTCATTCCTCAAGGAAGTCTTCTATGAATCCCAGAATAGGTCAATTGCCACTTTTTTTTTCTTGAGACAGGTCTTATTCTGTCACCCAGGCTGGAGTGCAGTGGCATCATCATAGTTCACTGCAACCTCAAACTCCTGGGCTCAAGCGATCCTCCTGCCTCAGCCTCCTGAGTAGCTTGCAGTTGCACACCACCACACCTAGCTAATTTGAAATTTTTTTGTAGAGACAGGATCTTGGTATATTGCCCAGGCTGGTCTTGAACTCCTGGGCTCAAGTGATCCTCCTGCCTTCACCTCCAAAAATGCCGGGATTACAGGTGTGAGCCACTGTGCCTAGCCAAGTGCCCTTCTATACATGCTCATAGCTCCCTGTGAGCTAGTGCTTATCATAATTATGATTATATAATAATTGATGTAATTATTTGTTTAATGTTTGTCTTTTCCACTATTCTGTAAGTGCCATAGTAGCTGGGAACATGCTTGTTTTTTTGTTTTTTTTTATTAAGAGGTGGAGTCTCGCTCTGTAGCCGAGGCTGGAATGTAGTGGTATCATCATAGCTCACTCTAGCCTCCACCTCCTGGGCTCAAGGAATCTCCCCATGTCAGCCTCCCAAGTTGCTGGGATTACAGGCATGAGCCACTGTGCACAGCTCAGAACATGGGCTGTTTTGTTTACTTTTGTATTATTAGAACCGGACATATAAGCAGGGCTCAAGAAATGTTTATTGATGAGTGAATGTCCCCTCCCAACACAATGTTCCAGGAAGTCCCCTCACAGTCACATCCTCCTCCCTCCACCCTCTAGCCTGGCTCAGAGAAGCAAATAAGTAATTAGGTTGGGACCTCATTTTCTCTCTGGACCTGATGTTGATGTTGAAAGAGAATCATCTGGGGGTGAAAGAGAGCCCAGCAAAAGACAGAGGCCTTTGTCATATCTGTAGCCAGAAATGGCCTTCTCCCCAAACTCCTAACTGTTGGTATCTGGCTTGCTCATCTACTCTAAACTCAGCAGATAGCTAAGGGAGCAGTAATAAGATTTAAGCAGAAAACTAAAATATTCATTCATAATTAAGGTGTAGCAAATAGCTAAACTACTAAGTACTAAGGCATAACCTAATAAATAAAGTATTCGGCTTATAAATAAGATGTTAGAAGATAATTAAAGTGTTAGTAGATAATCAAATATTAACTATTCAAATGTTAGCTGATAATCAAAGGATTAATTTAAAACTAAGATGTTAGCAGATACTGGTTAACCAATGACTAAGGTGACAGTTGATAAGGATTTAAAGAGACATTTTTCCTGGAGGACTCTTGCGCATGTTAGTGGGGATTTAGGAACCGCGGGAAGCTGTTCTATAGGAATGCAGGTCTAATTGGAAGTGTACAAGCCTCAGCTGGACTCTCAGTTTCTGGGGAAATGGTTTGCTCATTTTTGATTTCCAGATAGGGTCTAGTCAGGAAGAGGCATGGCGCCGAAGCTCAAAATGCTTACCATGCAATTCATGGTGACCTAATCTGTAAGGTCCAGGCACCGGGCTGAGGTGGGGGAAGGGAGGGCAGTTGCTTAAATGCTGAGACTAGAGTGTTATAAGCCAGAGAGCAAGTGAGGGGCATGTGAAAGAGAAGGTTTGGTGAGCGGGGTGCGGTGGCTCACGCCTGTATTCCTAGCACTTAGGGAGGCCAAGGCAGGAGAGTTGCTTGAGGCCAGGAGTTTGAGACCAGCCTGGGCAATGGTGAGACCTCATCTCTACAAAAAAATAAAAATAAAAAATAACTGGGTGTGGTGGCACATGTCTGTACTCCTAGCTACTCGGGAGGCTGAGGCAGAATTGCTTGAGCCCAGGAGTTCGAGGTTACGTTGATCTATGATCACATGATCACACCAGCCTGGGCAGCAGAGTGAGACCCTGTCTCATGAAAAAAAAAAGAGAGAGGAGGCTTGAGGGATGCAAAGGCTGGGTGGGAGGGAGCGCAGATGTGTCGGGGAAACATGATGAGTTTAGTTCTTGACCTGTCGAATTGAAATGTCTGTAGAGATGCCCAGTAGGCAGATGGATATGAGTCCAGTGTAGATATAAGGTCGAGATTTGGGTGTCATCAGTGTACAGATGGTACTCAAAACCATCAGAACAAACGAGGCGGCTATGGAAGTACTTAGGGTGATAAAAGGGACCAGACTGGAACCCCAAGGAAGACCCGCAGGGAAGAAGCAGGTGGAGAAGGAAGGAGCACTCAGAGAGATGGAGGAAAACTAAGGGAAGACAGGGGCGGGAGAGGGAAAAGAATGTGTCAGGGAGAAGAGCACAGCAGCAATGGCAGATGTTGGAGCAGGTCAAGTAGGATAAGGTCAGAGAGATGTTCACTGGATTCCACAGTAAGGAGCTAAGCGATGGCTTCTGTAAGTGCAGTGAGGTAAGGCACGAATACGGGTGGTAGAGGCAGTGGGTAAAGAGCAGGCAGGTAGCGGTGGGAGAATGTGGTTCCGAGATGTCCATCATGAACATTTCTGACGTCTGGGTTTCATTGTGTGTATGTGCATGTGTGTACACACGAGCATATGCAGAGTGGGAGCTTAGAGTAGGGTGCGTAAGGGCAGGTTGGAGGCCACCGTGGGGGGCTTGTCAGCTCACAGGTAGCCCTCACTGTACTCTGGGGAGCTTTTGAGAAGCACCATTAAGGGAGATTGTGAGAACTCCAACCACAGTTCAACCCTTTCGTTGTCCAGTGGGAAAATGGAGGACAGCAGAGGGGGAACAATTTGCTCAGTCTGTGAATCAGGGGCACAGTCAGGACTTGAATCTGAGTCTCCAGACTTCTAGAAGAGTGGCCTTGGTGAGGTAAACATAAAGTTCTTATTGGCCAATGGTTTGCTGAGCACAGTGACTTTTCCCATCACTCCAGTTTCCAGCTGCCTCTTTTTATACTTATATAAAAGCAAAGTATGTATTTTACATACAAAATTCAAACATTACAGAAATACTTAATAAAAATGACTCCTGTTATCTCACTCTACCACCTCAAAGATGACCACCATTAACAGTTTGGTTTATATATACTCTTAACATTATAAATTTTTAATAAAAATATTATACTTGTTAGGCTGGGCGCTGTGGCTCACGCCTGTAATCTCACTGCTTTAGGAGGCCGAGGTGGGAGGATCGCTTGAGGCCAGGAGTTCAAGACCAGCCTGGCAACATAGTGGGACCCCATCTCTAAAAAAAATTTAAAAATTAGCTGGGCAAGGTGGCGTGCAACTGTAGTCCCAGCTACAGGAGGCTCAGGCGGGAGAATCACTTGAGCCCAAGAGTTCGAGGCTGCAGTGAACTATTATGATGCCATTGCACTCCAGCCTGACAAGAGAGAAGATCCAGAGTGAGATTTTGTCTCTAAAAAATAAATTGAAATAAAAATTATACTTCTTCATATTTTTGGGAGGTGTGTGTGTTTATGTGTTCATTCTGTTTTATAACTTACCCTTTTTCACTTTTGGAAAACTGTCTATGGTGGCATATCGAGATCTAATTCATTTTAATAACTATATTAGCTTGTCATTTGGATTTGTACTGTAATTTATTATCAGGCCCTTATTGATGGGCATATGGTTTGCATCCAAATTTTCACTATTGTGAATGGTGTACATAGATATTATTGTACATATATTTGTACTTTTGGGGGGTTTTCTAGAAAGGGAAATAATGGGTCAAAGTGTAGGAACATTGTGTTTTAAAAGATTTTGCCAAATCGCCCTCCAAAAACTTATGCCAGTTGATTGTCCCACCAATGGTTTCTGTGAATTCCCATTTCCCCACATCTTTACCAACAACTGATATTGTCATTGTAAAAATCTGTCTACCTTGAATGAGGCTGAACATCCTTTCATATCCTATATTCTTCTGTGAGTTATCTATTCGTATCCTTTGCCTATTATTGTAGTATACTTTGGGTCAGTGAATTCTCATTGGGCAATAATGATTAGCTTGCTTTAAAAAAGGCTTGGAAGGCTTTATACCAAGTTGCTAACAGTGAGTGAGATTATAGGAAATAAAGAGGATACTTTCATTTTTTATTTTATATTGTGCTGTACTGTTTGGATTTTTACAATGAACTTGCATTTCTTTTGTAATTAAAAAAATAATACAGAGGAAACAACAACAACAAGTACTAAATGTTTGCTCTGGAGTCCCATTGGCTAGAAATTCATGTTGGATGAGAGTTTTTATTGATCACAAGTTATTTTTTCATTTATATGCAAAAAACGTTTATTGAATGTCTCCTATTTAGCTGGCACTGTCCTAGGCACTTTCACAGATATTTCATCCCAATCCTCACAACAGCCCTGTGAGGTAGGAATTGGTCCCATTTTACAGAAGTCTTACGGGGCAGGAGATTATTGCTTGATAACTTCTATTTGCCACGTGTTTTCACTGGCTAGAGGTTCTTATTGGCTGGTGATTCACTGGTCAAGAGTTCTCATTGGCCAGGAGTTCCTATTTGTTGCTCTAAGATTCAAATAATCAAAATACTAGAATTTTTCCCCCACAGGAGTGACGGGACAGGTAGAGTAAGAGTGAAGGAAGGAGAGTCAGTGGATCTCTCCCTTCGAAGCACCATCTGAGTTTGTGTTGGTGGGGACAGGTGGATGGGATGGGGTGGTGGAAGAGTAGAAAATAGTGGTTATAAGTCTTCTCGCTTCCGCAGGATGAGCTTCCTCACAAGCGCTGTGATCTGGGGTCTGATCTCCTCCACTGACACAGTTGGGTCCCAAGCTCCTGCCACCTTTCCATCTGGGGCCACTAGATACTTCCAGAAGTTCCAGGTGGGCTCCTTCCCAGAAGTCTCTAGAGAAGAAGGAAGAATGAGAACAAAGTGTACTGCCCTGTGCACCCTCTCCTGGAATTCCATTATTGGTGTCCATCTTTCCCTTGTGGCAGTATAATTCTGAGGTCCAGTCCATACCCCAGACCACTTAAATCAGAATCTCTGAGGTTAAGACTCATGCATCAGTACTTTTCACAAGCTCGCCAGGAGATTCCGATATGGGGCCAAGGTTGAGAATGACTGCTTTAGGATTCTGTGAAGTGCTTGATAAAGCAGTATCAAATCCTCCTTTATTTATAAGCTCAAACTACTGAATAGTCTACACCCTTATTCTCTGATTAAATCTTAATGGTTTCCAAATGTTAGTCCATGGACTGGTTGCATCAGAATCATTGGGGGGCAAGAGGGCTTCTTCAGTAGGACTCAGGCTTAAGCATTTTTTAGAGCTCCCCAGGTGCTTCTAAAGCAAGGCCAGGTTTGATCTCTAACTATGGGAACTGAGAAGGAACTAATAAAAGCACACAGGAAAAAAGCAAACATTAATATTGACCCACAGAGCAAAACACAAATGTGCCTCCGTGAGGGATGTTTTGTTTGCTATACTCTTGTTTCTCATTTACCCTTTCGGGTGAATGGGTTTTCGGGTGGCGCTAGTGGCGGTGAGGGATACAAAGGTAACCAGAAGTGTGAGGTGAGAAAAGGCAAAAATGGAGCCTCCAAAGGAGGAGAAAGGCCACAGGGAGGAAACAGGACCCTAATGACAGGCATAGACCATGACCCATTTTGTGGCTCTGAGGCTTCTGGGGCTAGAGAAGGGATCTAGTTCTCAAATATTCAGATCTGGTATTTTAACTCAGAAGGTTTCCCATGGCCTGTAGACTTTGCCTCTGACTCAGGGCAGGAGATGCCTGTCAGTCACCTTGGTCAGCCCTGTCTAGGCACGTGGAGTCCCCTGTCTGTGCAGTGATCGCTCCATTGTAAGTCCATAAACTCAACTAATTCGCACAGACTAAAACGTGGGGCCCAGTCTCCTTCTAGGAGCCCCTGAATGTGGAAACAGGATCCCAGAAAAGTCCGCAAGAGTGACTCTGAAGGAGAACTTCAAGGCAGCAGGCGTGGAGATACTCTTAGGCAGGAATAGCCCTTAGCCAGTACCTGCCCCCACTCTCCTTAGAGATTAGTGCTGGAACGAAACATCAACCCACCTGAGAGTCAGGAAGGGGGAAGGGCCCCAGGTCGCCCAGCCAGCCAGTGGCTTCTGCTGCTCAGGGAACCACAACCTCAGCCACCTGAGGGAAAGTGAGGGGCTAAAGGGACCAGAACTCACCTGTCAGGTACTTGAAGGCAGGGTGGGCACCAGTGCCAGTGACGGCGACCTTACTAAACATGGGGAATGAGACACTGTAGGTGCGGCGGGCAAAGCTCTCAATCTCCTTGTTGCTGTCGGGCTCCTGTTGGCCAAACTGGTTGCAGGGAAAGGCAAGCACGTTGAAGTGGTGGGGACCCAGGTCCCGCTGCAGCTGCTGCAGGGCTCGGTAGTGCTGGTCTGTGAAGCCACACTGGCTAGCCACGTTCACTACCAGGGACACCTGCGTGGCAAAAACAAAACAAAACAAAGCCCAGACACATACACAAGTCAATGAGGAGGCATGCATGCACTTTTACATGCTCTGACGTGCCCACATATGTGACTCCCTCAATAATTAATGTTCTCACACATACAAGAACACTCTGTACACATATATAAATGTGTGTGCAAGGCCCTCACATATACATAAACACACGCACACAGGCACATATGAATCAAACATTGCAGGGGCTTACAGATGTGTGCACACATACACGAACATTTGTGAGCATAAGTACACAATACACATTAACGGGTATGCACATGCCCCACAACATAAGCATATATTAGCAAACATCTCATGTGCCCACAAACACACATAGCACATTAACAGAGAGAGGCATACACACTGGTGAGCACACATTGGGAAGTGACATGGGGAAGTAGAAAGGCAGACCTGGGTTCAATTTTTGGCTCAGTCACCTAGCACTTATCACTCCACACTCCACATAGTTGCCCGTGTATGTGTCAGTCTCCCTTCTAGAACGTGAACCTACTGAAGGCAGGAGCTATGTCCACTTCATCTCTGGGCCTGGCCTATGGAAAAATCTCAGTGTCAGCTGAATGAGTAAGTGTGCACACATACACAATATCACAGACACCTGCATGGGTACATAGACACAGGTTTTCTAGATAAAAAGATCCCCAGGACCCCGGGGCAATCCCTTTTTGTCCCCTTCCTCTCCAGCAAACAAATACCACTTTTTTTTTTTTTTTTGAGACAGAATCTCCCTCTGTTGCCTGGGCTAGAGTGCCGTGGTGTCAGCCTAGCTCACAGCAATCTCAAACTCCTGGGCTCTAGCGATCCTCCTGCCTCTCTGCCTCCTGAGTAGCTGGGACTACAGGTGTGTGCCACCACGCCTGGCTAATTTTTACTATTTTAGTAGAGACAGGGTCTTGCTCTTGCTCAGGCTGGTCTTGAACTCCTGACCTCAAGTGATTCTCCGGCCTCAACCTCTCAGAGTGCTAGGATTACAGGTGTGAGCTATCTTGCTTGGCCCAAATACCACTATTTTGATCCCTACACTAATCCCTAGATTTATTAGAGCCTTTAGGCAATAAATATCAAGCTGGCTGATGGAACTTGATTATAACATTGCAGTTAGAATTCTGGCACCTATCCTATGTTTTTAGCTTCTAGCTATACATTATTAAAGGATTTTTAAATACTACCCTTTGTCTGGGCAGCCTAGCCCCATCTTCCTGGCCACTTTTTGAAAAGAGCTGGGATTATACCAGCTGGCCCCATAAAGAGGGCCACCTCCCAGGGGCTGCCTGGAACACTGGACAGGCAAAAGCATAGATTCCTTAGGCTAGATAGGACTTCTCAGCCTCAGCCCTATTGACATTTGGGGCCAGATCATTCTTTGTTTTGTGGGGAGCTGTCCCGTTCATTCATTGTGGGATGTTTGGCAGCATAGCTGGCCTCTATTCACTAGATGCCTAGTCTTGATGATCAAAAATGTCTCCAGGTATTTCCAAATATTCCCTGGAGGGAAAAATCACTCCCAGTTGAGAACCACTGGTCTAGATGATTGAACCACTGAGCTGTAATTCCTGCACCCTACCCCCACCAGATGAGGAAGGACCCAGGCCCTGGGGCTATTAGAACAATCTCCCTAATTTGAGATCGGCACATACCATAATCTGCCTGGGGTGGTGGGAAACTGGGACTCCTAACTCCCTTCCCCATTTAGGGTTCTTCCTGTGTCTTCCCTGCTGGATCCCTGGGCAATGACAGCATTAAAGCTTGCTTATATTTAACCTTCATCTTGTGTATCTGCTCACTCTTTCAGAAGGGGGAAAAATCATGCTTCTAGTTCCATCCCTGAAACCAAAATGCTTGATCTTTAGACACCAAAACATAGATAGACACACCCAAATACACACAGTTAATTTACATACATACATATACAAGCACAGACACAAACTCAAATTTGTACATAGAAGCAAGCAAACAAACCATTCACACACACACACACACACACACACACACACACACACACACACACACTACACTCAGGCCTACCAGTACATGATCCCACATGGTAGGCAAGCACATTCCCAAGTGATCACCAATTTATCCATACTCCACACTGGTCTAAATGACTGTTGTCTCACTTAGCCTGAGGGCATAAGCTGTGCTGGTCTTGCTCATGGATATGTCACCAGGGCTGGACCCAGCGCAGGCATGTAGTAGGAGCCAGTAAATGTTTGCAGGTGAATGAATGAGCATATTGCCCAAGGAGTAGGCCTAGCTTGGGTTAACTAACAGCACCATTTACAGCTTCCCTGGACTGACTATTCCCTGGTTTCCCTCTAAACTTGACAAGTAAGGTCATGGACTCTGGAGCTGGATTGCCTGGGTTCAAATTCTAACTCTATTTCTTAACAGCTACGTGAACTTGTTCTATTTTTGACTTAGCACTTACTACTACTAGGAATGATCTTGTTTATTTCTCAGTTCCTTGCTTATTATCTCTCCCCTCCCTACCCCATATAAGCTCTATTGCAGTGGAAACTTATCTGTTTGGTTCACCAGTGTATCCCCAGGGCCTGGCCTAGTACCTAGGATACAGTAGGTGCTCCATAATGAACAACGAGTTAATGAGGAGCAGGTGCTAGCCCTGGTGAGCTCTCTGGTGAGCTGCACTGGAGAGACGGGGAGGCCTGAATGGGAATGAGCCCTGTTCTTCTTGTTTCTTTGTCCTGAGTCCCGGATGAGGTTCCTGCTGGGATCCACCAAACACAGGTACAGAGTACTCCACAGTTTACCAGGTCCTTCCATGCTGTCATCTCATCTGAAACTCACAACACCCTGAGGGACAGTCCGGACAGGAATCACTGACCCCGGGACTCCCAGCATAATTGAGAATTTCAAGGCTTACAGTGTACTTTCTTCACTAAAGATGGCCTTGTTCCCAGGAGAAGAATGTTGACAGCCATTTTTGTGTGGTTCAACCAAATCTGGGTGCTGGGCCCACCTTTCCATTAGATTTCAACTTCCCACCCTTCCCACACCAGACTCCCCACGTCCGTCCTGAATAGGCAGACCTGGAGGGTTTTTCATACACACAATGTAATATCTAAGTCTCTCAATGTAGTGTTCAAGGCCCCTCGTGGTCCCTCCCTGACCCTTCTAGCCTCATCTTCTACCACTCTGGGCCTCTGGCTTTATATACTTTTGAAGTCCTTCTCCCACCCCTCCACCACTGCTCTTGCTGTTTGGTTCTTAATCTTGTTAAAAATCTACGTTTGTTTCAAAGACTCAACCCAGACACACTTCCTCTCTAAGCTTAGATTCCTTCTTGGTAAGGAGGGGGCAATTAGCCTGGATGACTCTTGTATATCTCATCCTGAGCTGCCATCTAAGGAGTTTGCCTAGAAAGGACCACGGATGGAGCGGGGTTGGGGTTCTCTTCCAGGCTCTGTCGCTTTCCAGTGCTGTGTGGCCTTGTAAATGCCTTCCCTCTCTGAGCCTTAGTGTCCTCTCCAAAGGGTGATCCGCATAAGGTTCCCATACATCTAAAAGGATATCTCCCTCTGCGTTGCACATTCGTGTCCACAATGTTCTCAAATGGACTCAATATCGGCAACTCCCCGTGTTCCAGATGCGGAAACTGGGGATGGGAGAGGCAAAGGCGGCACGATGCTGCGGTTACTTTTTCCACCCGTGAATGGCAAAGGCTGGGCCTCCGGGCGAGATCCGGATCTCGCTGCCCAAAGGTGCTGGGGGCGCAGTCGGCGTAGACTTCTAGAGTTTCGGGTTTCCCTGCGCGCCGGGGCAGTGCCACGTAGTCGCGGGACAGACCAGGCGCGGGATCTGCGGGCGCGGGATCTGCGGGCGCGGAGCCGGGGGTGGGTGGGGGGCTGTCATGCCCGAGTGGGGGTGGGGAGCCAGGGCCAGGCTGCCGCGGCCGGAGCCCCTCGGAGCCACACCCAGCAGGGGCCCGGGCTGCCGGCGCCGCCCTCAGCCCTGCCGGGGCGACTCCGAGGCCCCGCGGCGGACGCTCACTCACCGAGCCGCGGTACTTCTCCAGCGACACCAGTTTGCCCCGGATGTTGACCGCCTTGAAGTCGTAGAAGTCCTGCTCCCGCTGCTCGCAGGCTGCGGCCCACAGCAGCAGCCACGCTGCCGCCAGTGCCGCCACCATGACTCGCTTCCGAGGTGGCGATATTGCGAGGGCAGGGACGAGGCGGGGGGACCGGCGTGGAGGGCGGGAGGGGGCGGCTCCGGCACTGCACGGCCCGCGAGGCAGGACGCGCCCCCTTGTTCTCCTGTGCCGGCGGTGGAATAGCTGGCACTGGACCTCAGTTTCCCCATATGTACTGCAGAAGCGCTGGACTCTGCCCTCATGCACCGGACTCCAGGGCCATGGTTTCAGGATTGTGACCACTGAGACCAGAATTTATTTCAGCGAGATTCCCTCTTGTTCCAGGATGCAGTGACTTGTAGGGAGAGGGAGGCAAAAATCTGGGTCTGAGAGCTCGGCTTCTAAGTAGGGCAGTGGCCTTAGCCTGACTTAGGCCGGTCACTCCACTACTCTGGGCCTCAGTTTCTCCCCGTTTGGTGCGGCTAGCCTCCCCTCCTGATCCTCCTGGTCAGTATGGAGTGCGAGTAATAGAAAATGGATGTGAAACACTTTGACGATTGAATGGTGCCTACAAAAGTTAGGTGAATGAATGAATGTTCCCCAAAAGTGAGGGCTTGGAGAAGCAGAAGAGAAGACCAAGGGCTTGTTGCAGGTTGGGTTCCTGGGAAGCAGATTCTGCGATGGAGATTGGAATGCAGAATATTTATGAGGGAGCACCCTTGGGATTGACACCTGTGGACGGGAGGGGAACAGGAGTGGCAGAGGGAGAAGGAGAGAGCTCCGTGCAGGCCCAAGGACAGTCTTGGCTGACCAGAGAGGGACTCTGGAGCTAGAGTGGCCCATCAGATGAGCTAAGGTGGCCAGGCCTTTATACCCCTGCCTTCATTGGCCTTTGGATGTGGGGCCATCTGGAAAGGGCTGTGACAAGGGCCAAGGTGGCCCTGTCTCTAGAGGAGCTGACAGTTAAAGGCTTTGTGCTGACAGCACTCCCAGCAGCTGAGGTCCCAAGTCTTCACTGATGGGGGATCTGGGCAGCACATCACAATGTCTCCCATGCTTAAAAAATCCCTACTGAGTCCATGAAATGCCATGCATGGGGCTGGGTGCTGACCCTGTGCTAGTCCTCCAGAAACTCACAGGCTGGTGTGAGGGAAACCAGGTAAACCGCAGATTTCATGTAATGTGGTAAGGGCTAATGCGCTCCTGTAGTCATTCAGCAAACACTTCTTGAGCACCTGTTCTATGCCAGGTTCTGCTTTAGGTGCCCCTTATGCAGTGACGAATAAGACAGGCATGGTCCCCATCTAGGGAGAGACAGGCATTAAATAATTCATATAGCTCTAAAATTACCGTTGTAGTAAGTACCACATAAACTAGCCTAGGGGATGGAGGAGGGCTTCCTAGAAGAGAGATTTGAGCTGAGCTCTGAAGAATGAGTAGAACTCAGCTAGGTTGAAGCAGGGAAGGAAGCAAGTGTAAATGTCCTGAGGGAGAGATTAACATGGTGCATTGAGAAACAAAGAAGGCTAATTTGGCTGGAGCAGAGAGAACAAAGGATGAGAGGGGATGGTAGAGAGGCTGGCAGAAGTGAGGTCATACAGAGCCTGGTAGCCACAGTAAAGATTATGGTCTTTAAACCAAGACATGAAGGTTCATTTTCTTTTTCTTTTTTTTTTTAAAGCAGGGAAATATCACAGTGAGTCTTAGGTTGTAGAAGGATCCCCCTGGCTGTTCTGTGGAGAGTGGATAGGAAAGGGCAGGAGCAGACGGGGGCCTGATGGTGGGGGAGAGGAAGCTCCAGGGCAGTTGCTACTTAGCCTGAGCACCCAGGGAAGGCCTCCTGGAATTGGTGACACCAGAGTCAAGTCTTGAAAGAGGAATGGGAATTCTCTATGTTGGGGAGGGGAAGGCAAAAATGTCAGACCGAGAGAGTGGTGTCTATGAAGACACGGAGTCGGAGAAAAGTGCTTGACTGTATGGAGTGAGAAAGGGTGCAGGGCAGATGAGGTTGGAAGGTCACCAGGGGCCGGATGGAGAAGGGCCTTGAGTGCTACGTCACTCTGTAGGCTGTAGCAAGCACAGACTTTGAAGCTGGGCACAAGATCACACAGTTCATAAGACTTGAACCCAGGCCTTCAGGTTTTGGACAATGGAATCTATCTGCACCACCAAAGTGGCCTTTCTCTTCAGGAGAGGACATTATCAGGAAGGCGGAGAACAGGGGAAAGGGTGCTCCAGGCAAGGGCCAAGGCATAAATGAAGTATCCCTGCCCTTCCTACTCCTTCTTCCCCTTCTCTTATGGGAGTCTTAAGCCTCTGAGGGGTCTCATACTATTAAATGGTCTTCTCTTCCCTGCTCTGCCTTGTGAAACTGCTGGTCTCCCTTCCTGCCATCTGTTCCTTTAACTCAGCTTTTACTGAAGTGTTCCAGTGACCAGGAGTTCCCAAATTCTACTTCATGTAACTTGGAGTTTTGCAGTTGGCCAAGCTATTTGATGTTAAGATCTAGATAGGTGAGCATTTTTATGAAGCACGGAAAAAATGTTAATAGTGAAATGTTTCTAAATTACAAATTTCTTTATTGAGCCCTTTTCTCTTCTATTCATGCTTCAAAACCCAGCTCAGATATCATCCCCTCCTCTGCCACTAACTTAATCATTCCCTCCTCTCTGCTGCTTTTGTAACTACTACATGTTTTGGTTAGTGGGCTGATAGTAATACTGTGTTTTCAGTTTTCATGGCTGTCTCCCCCACCAAGACTGTGAGCATCTCCAGGGGAGGCAGGCTTGTGTCTGAATCATCTTTGTGTCCTCCTGGCATGTACCAGACACTCAGGAAATACTCATTTTTCTTAAACTTTCTGGTGACTTCTATTATTTCTCTATGCTAGAATCTGATATGAAATGGTGTTGATTTTAGCCAACAGTGTGTACTTTGTCATTTTATTTTCAGTCCCCTACGAATTTTTGGTGTTTCAGAAAGAGCACAGTTATTTCCAAGTGGCCCATCTACACAAACAGGAGACCCACACACATGGACAAATACACAGTTCTCAGCGGAGCACCTGGAAGTGTTGGAGACTCACTCCTGGATCTCTGGTACTCCTTTTTCCTACAATAAGCTCAAAGAAGCTCTTTATGGGTATTTAAAATGCTCATTAATGTTTTGTTTATTCAATCAATTTTTGAGTACCTACCATGTACAATAAATAAAATAATATGTATTTTAAGGACTATTAATATAGTAATAAACAAGACAGACAAAAAAGGCACAAAAATTCTTGGACTTACATTCTAGTGGGGGGAACAAGGATAAAAACTAAAACTTATAATACAAAATGTATGGTACTTTATTTAGATGGTGATAAACAGGAGAGAGAGGTAGAGAGTGTGGTGGTAGGGTGGGGAGGGATTGCAATTTTAATTGAAATGATCAGGAAGCCTCCTTGAGAAATTGGTATTTGAGCAAAGACCTAAAGAAAGTCAGAAAGCAAACAATGGGGAAAAGTAGAAGAGCTTCCAAGTACAGGAACCAGCAAGTACAAAGGCCCTGAGGCAGGAACATGCACAATGTGTTTAATGAACAGCAAAGAGCCTAGTGTGGCTGGAGTGGAGTGAGTGAGGGGAAGAGTAGCAGGAGATGACCTCAGAGAGGTAAGGGATGGGTGGGCAGATACCACAGGGTCTCATTAAGCCACTGTAAAGGCTTTGGCTTTGACTCTGAGTGAGATGGGAAGCCATTAAATGGTTTTTAAGCAGGGAAAGGACATTTCTAGTTTGTTTTTTTTTTTATTTCAAAATATTACAGAGATACAAATGTTTTTGGTTACATGTATTGATTTTGTAATGCTTGTTATGAGTCAGGGTAATAGATGTGCCCATCACCCAAATAGTGTTCATTGTACCCATTAGGTAGGTTAGTTTATGTTTTAACAGAAATCATTCTGATGGCAGTACTGAAATGAGAGTAATCAGGAGGCTATTGCAGTAATCCACATGAGGGGACATGTGGGCAGTGGAGGTATTGGGAAGTAGTCAGACTGAATATATTTTCAAAGTAGAGGCAAAAGGATTTCCTGATAGGTGGGATGTAGGGTATTGAGAGAAAGAGAAGAGTTACAGATGACTTTTAAGATTTTTGACCAGAGCAACTGGGAGGATCAAGTTGCCATTGATTGAGATGAAGAAGCCTGCAAGGGCAACTGGTTTGGGATGAAAAAGCAAGAGCTCAGTTTTGGACATGTTAAGTTTGAGTTGCCTGTTAGCAGTGGTATGCTGATAAACGTTTAACAATTGGCTTTCCAGGAAAAAAAGGTGTGTGTATACACATAAGTTTATTATATAGTTTACTGATACAAATGATACATAGCACACAATTCACAAATAATATATAGTACTCCTTATTGTAAATTCCATATAGCCAATTTATTTTCACAGAATACTTCAATTTATTTTTGCCAAACTCCAGTATCTATAGCCAACCAATGGTTGCAATTACTGAACAAATGTGGTTCCAAGAATAATGTTGGTTGATATTGTTATTTACATTAATAGTAAGGTGAAAGTGAAACGATAGAGACATATGCCAGAATTATGACATAGTCAGTCAATCACACAAGTGGTTTCTTTGTGGAATCAGATATTAATTTTCTAATACAGGAAGAATATTTCCTCAAATTTTTGTGTTGTTCACAAGGTAATGGCTACAGACCCAGTACACTCTAAATTTAATCTGCATTATTAACATTTTTTCCATTACTTTCTTAAGTCTAGGCAATCAGCAAACAATAAATCAACCCCTGATAGGGAGCATTTGCCAATTTCTGTGGTGTAATACTCCCACCATGGTTGATTTTGAGCTACCAACATGATGTTATTGAACACGGAGTTAGGAAGAGATGTGAGTGTAGCACACCGTTAAATAGTATTTCCGTAATACGGATAGAATAGATGTAAATAAACTTGAGAGCATAAAGAATAATAAAAAATATTAGAACAACAGGCAGTTTAGGAGTTTTGAATATTATCTTTGTTTTAATATGATTTATTTAATTTTAAGCTCATATAATTTAATTTTTAGTAATGGCTATGGTT